TGCAGTGTGATCCTGTTTCCGATAGCAATCACTTTCTATATAACATGGTGGTTTATTCACTTTGTGGATAGCTTCTTCTCCCCAATCTATGCTCAACTTGGAATCAACATTTTTGGTAAGTAGTAAGTACGCTTTGATTCAGTAGCACATTTCCTTTACGCCCATTCTTTCCATTGGTATACTGTAAGTTGCATTAGTTATTTGTGTTGGGATTTGATGTTGCTGGGATTTCCATATGGTTAATATTTGGAGTTTGAAAAAAAAAATGTACTCCTAATGCAGCATAAGGCAAAACATGGTTTCGTCATATTCATTAAATATGCGGAGTTTAAAGTCAAGCATGCCCTTGTTCAGTGATTTTTCTTATTTTTTTGGCTGTCTGTTTTCATGATGACCTTCGAACTTCTGTATACATTTTAGGTCTTGGATTTGTCACTTCCATTACGTTCATATTTCTTGTTGGCGTGTTCATGTCATCATGGTTGGGTGCATCTGTCCTGGGCCTTGGTGAGTGGTTCATCAAAAGAATGCCGTTTGTTCGTCATATCTACAATGCCTCCAAGCAGATTAGTTCCGCCATATCCCCAGGTGTGTTTTATTGTATTTCTATTCTCCTTGTTTGGACTGAATGAAATAGATGTGGACAGTTATAATCTTTAGCTCTGTATGAAATTAGATCAAAACACACAAGCCTTCAAGGAAGTGGCAATCATAAGGCATCCACGCATTGGTGAATATGCATTTGGGTTCATAACTTCATCGGTCGTCCTTCAGGTCTGCAAATAATTTCTATATTGTGAAACTACCACTTCAGCACTATCTTTATCATGGTCAGAATCTCGTTATTCATTACTTTTTTATGATAATCAGTCTAATTTTATGAGCATGTATGTTTAATTTAACCTTACCTGTGTAATAATGCATGGTTTAAATTGTTGTCATGCGAAAAGTGTTTTAGAAAATTGGTTTTGTGATCCATTGTTTGTTGTTGCCAAAGTGCAATACTGACAATGACATGGTGATATATTCTATAAGAATTTAAGAAACAATCTTATGCCTGAATATATATTTCTTTAATGCAGAGCTATTCTGGAGATGAAGAGTTGTGCTGTGTTTATGTTCCCACGAACCATCTTTACATTGGCGATGTATTCTTGGTCAACACCAAGGATGTCATTAGACCAAATTTATCTGTACGGGAAGGAATTGGTAAGATAAAAAGACCTGTTTTACAGCTCTTAGCTTGAAAATTACAAACCAATTTTTTCTAGTTACTCGACCCCTATCCCTCATCATTATGGGCACCCAAAGGCCTTTGTGCTAATTTCCACATAAGCAAGAAGAGCCTTTGGAACCAATGATATCTCCCAATGAAAAAAATACAAGGGTCCTATTGGTTGTTTCCAAATCTACAAGTCAGAGAATAAAGTTGACACCATTGGGAAAGAAAGAAAAAGAAAAGAAAAGAAAAATAAGTTAATCTCCATCAGAGTTCAGTCACTAGTTGTCTTAGATTGGGGTTCTGTATTGAGTTTGCAATTTTCATCAACTATATGCTCCCAACCCCAAATACAGAGGATAATCGAAAGAAGGAAAACAGTTTGCTTTTTTATGTCTTTGAAGCTTTATTGACCATGAAAGCGGTATTAATTTATCTGTTGTTTAAATGCAGAAATTGTTGTTTCTGGAGGCATGTCAATGCCCCAGATCCTGTCAACACTCGATAACCAGATTATGCCAATGGATAGCTGAGTGAAGGTGTTAGATGTAGAAGAGTTGCTTCTTTATTACCCTTTCTTTGGTTCCTTAATGTCATCAGACTGGCCTTGCAATCTATGTGGTGCTTATGCAGGATTTAGAACCAGATCGTCAAGGGTCAGATTCTGGCGACATTTGTAACATCAGTTGTGATGTCAGAATGTAGAATTTTAGTGTTTGCTTGAAATATAGTTTTGATTGATAAAATGATATAACAGGCTTGTTTATAGCCTCTTTGATTTTCTGATTGCTTCTCGACTTTTAGAATTGCCTTTGTTTGATATTTATTATTACTAGCGCGTATGAAATTCTTTGCTGTTGATGTTTTCAGACTAAAGCGATTTTGTAGATTAAAAATAGTTTATTTGATACCAAATTACATATATTATTCAGCATGGAATCAGGCAAACGAAGATTTTCTTTTCTTTGCTTTTAGTGTGTTTGATTACCCATGCATCCGAGGTTGTTTTGAAATCTCCACTATCCAAGGTCAACTAGCGTCTTTGATATGCATTGGTGCTGATGTGGCATATTATGTCTGATTTTTGGTGAGCCATTCATTGTCACATCATCATTTAACAAATAACTTAATAGTTTGACTAAAGAAGGTATGCAAGTGGTAGAAAATCAAATTTTGAGTACGAAGTTGATACGAAAAAACTTTATGTAGTAAAGGTGAAATTCCGAGAAACTTCCGGTAGCAAAGTGAAATGTACACAAAAGAAAAAATAAAAATTTGTTAAAACTCATTAAGCTATGGGCTTTCGTGATGTGAGGACCAGAAGATCCTCCTTTATAACAGGCGGACCTTATGTGGATCATTTGTTGGTGTAGCCCAAATCAAAGGCCTTTCTCTTTTAATACGAATTGGACTTCATGATTTAGATGATCTTCATTCATCACAACATAGCAGGGCAGGTTATGACCATACACCCACTTATAGTGTAAAATAGCCCAATTCAAAAGCCCTACCGAAAACACAAAACCCTAGCTCCAAACCCTCCGTTCCACCTCTTTATAAACCAGCGTAGTGTTTCGCCAAAACCCAAGTCCGCGCTTGGCCGCTAGGGTTTCAGTTGCCTCTGAAATTAGTCTATTCACTTCATTAGAATTCCATTGTTGTATATTTGTTTTGGTTTTTCTGGTTCAATTCAAATCGGGACTGTGACGATTCATATTGATAAGGTCTCGTTCGTCGTAATTGGCCGTGAAGGCCTTGCCGACCATCCTGTTATATCACCACCCATATTCTGAGTCCCTTTCATCTCAATTTGAAAAAAAAGGTTTCGTTTTTTCATTCCTTTGTGTTGTCATCTGGTTACTTTGAAATTGGGTTTTTATTTATCAAATTGCTTTTGGTGATGCTGCAAAAGTCTTTGTGGGATACTTCTCAGCCGATGATTAAAAGTAAATATTTAGACAAGCATATGTCTGAATTATTCTATGTGGAACAACCTAATCTTCTCTATGAGGCTGATCATCTTCATTTTCTGTGTGTTAGGAACATGAAATTTCGGAATTTTCATTTCGTTTGAATTTATGTCCTTGGATTAGTAAACAAATAAACAGTATGATTTGCACGTAGCTGCCTGTGATGAGGATATGGTTTCGTGTAATTTATGACTATCAGTGATTACATATATACCTCTACTGCCTTCCTTCTGAGGCTCATAAGTTCTCTGTCTATCTTACGCACTTGTTAGCTACATGAGGTTTTTTTTTTAAACAATCTGATAAAATATTGGTTAATTTCATATGGGTCGAGTGATGATTAAATGCATAGTTCAGCTGATATCTGCGTGATTAATGCAATTTTAGTCTTTCGCTCCTATCTGACGATCCTTATGAATTAATCCGTAGTTATGGTTTTTCAACTTTCTAGTGTTTTCGAGTTTTAAAGTTGTTTTCTTGGATACCAGGCAAAATATTTTGCTTTTCTGCTCTGGTAGCAATGTGTACAAAAGCGTTGTTAATTATGTTCAAAATGGCCAGTGATTTTAATCATTTTCTAGACAAGCATATGTCTGAAACTGTTGGTGCTGATAAACTTATTTCTATGAGGCCTGTTCCTCTTGCCTTGAACTTACATTGCCTAGTAAGAACATGCTTACCTAATCTGTATGAGCTTTTGGTGGAGATATTTAACAGGTTGTTATTTGGCCGATTTAGATTTGTAGTTTTAGATAGAACTCTAAGTGGACTGTGAGGATGTATTATTGGTCTCGTTCGTCGTAATGGCTTTTGGGCCTTGCCGACTAGAGTGATATATCACCACCCATAGTCTGAGTCCTGTAAAACTAACTGTTGCTTTAGCAATTTACTCTGTTTTGGTTGGTTACAAGCTTTCCATGTTTGTTAATGTTGCTTGAGATTTTGCCCTTGTATTGTATCTCTTCTTAATCAGGTTTCTGTTGTGCTCGGTGATGTACTCGAGACTTTTTAGAGTCCTTCTCCAGCGCCGGAAGAGACTAAAGCTGGCATTTTTACATTCTCTGTGGGATGGTTTGGCCTGCTCAAAATGCTGTTCTAGATGCTGTTTCAATTTGTTTTGTACTTTTGGCCATTGGCTTTGTTGTAATGTAAACCCAGAAAGAACAAATTGACATTGTTGACATTTTTTTCTGAAATATACGTGGATGTTGAAGAAGTTTTATGTACCAAATTTTCTATGGTTCATGTGTTTTATTCTTTATGTTGCTTTGGTATATTCTCGTCAATGAATTATATATTTGTATGCCGTCTTAAAACTTTTCAAAACCATCCCCCTTTGGACTGTGAAATATTTTTACAAACCACTTTAACAAAGGTGCACCCTCATCACAATTTACTTCTATTTATTGAATATTTCTCTTTATAGAATTATGGTTATCGATGGATGCATATTAAGTGTTAAGAAAGGTAATATTAAGTGTTAAGAAAGGTAATAAAGGTCTTTGATCTTTATAGAATTATGGTTATCGATGGATGCATATTAAGTGTTAAGAAAGGTAATATTAAGTGTTAAGAAAGGTAATAAAGTGTTAAGAAAGGTAATAAAGGTCCAATTTGAGTTAAAATAGTGAGCGAAATATAATGAGAAAAAATGGTGAGCGAAAAATAGTGAGAAAAATACTGTCGCTTTATATTGTGTGACTAAATTAATTGATCATATCAACTCAGATTTGAGAAATCTAAGACGCCATTTTATCATCAGATAAAAGACACCACCAATTATGCCACTACTTCAGCGACGTCGTTTATGCCAGCCAAACATAGCCCCACAACCCAGTCAACTTCACATGTTACCGCGGGTACCAGAATGTATCGGACGACTGAAAAACTGCCGACACTTAGTATCCGAACCTACAGCTTTGGAGCCTCCCGAACCTAGCTTTGTCGCTATATCTAATCATAAACCCTCTGACTCACTCCAATTCCGTCTGTGTCTCAGTGCACAACACTCACACTCCCAAAGCGTATAATGAAGACGTAGTGCTCTGCTTTTGCTCTGTGTCTCGCTCCAATTCACGAAAACGGCACCCTGTCTCTTTTCACAGAGAGAGCTAACAAAGCCACCGCCAATCCCATCAGATTTCTCCTCAGTTTCTGAACCCAAGGCCACAAGCTTTTCTGTTCCATTTGCTCAGTTTGCTCTTCGTCTCGTTTCTAATTCTGGCATTTCTTCCTGTTTTGCCACGACCCTTTTAATTAAAATCTACGCAATCCATTAAACTCAAATCAAAATTCCAATAAAGCTTCAAAATTTCAAACTGGGTCCAATCCAATTCCATCAGATTTTTCCTCAGTTTCTGAACCCAAAGGCACAAGATTTCTGTTTCATTTGCTCAGTTTGGTCTTCGTCTCCTTTCTAATTCTGGCATTTCTCTCTGTTTTTGTTTTACCAGGACCCATTTAATTAAAACCCAAGCAATCCATCAAACCCAGATCAAAATCCAACAAAGCTTCAGAATTTACAACTGGGTCCAATCAAATTCAGCATCTTTCACCAAAATCTCCAAAGATAACGCATTTAAACACACACCATATATAGCGCACGCCTGCAGTAAATACGATGCACGCAAAATCTGACTCGGATGTGACCAGCTTGGCACCTTCATCACCAAGATCACCAAAGCGACCTGTTTACTACGTTCAAAGCCCGTCCAGGGACTCCAACGATGGCGATAAATCGTCCACAATGCAAGCCACGCCAGCCTTCAACAGTCCCATGGAGAGCCCATCGCACCCTTCTTATGGCCGGCACTCGAGGGCGTCATCTGCCAGTCGGGTTTCGGGTACCTTTCGGTCCTCTTCGGGTCAGAAAGGGACCCGGAAGCGCAACGATAAGGGGTGGCCTGAGTGCAATGTGATTGAAGAAGAAGGTGACTATGGCGGGCTTTATAAAGACAAGGGAATTTCTAGAAGGTGCCAGATTTGGATTGCTCTGTTTGGGTTTGTTGTGATTTTCTCCATCTTCTGCTTGATTCTTTGGGGTGCTAGCAGGCCTTACAAAGCTCGGGTTGCTGTTAAGGTATGCTTATTGATGATCATGACCCTCTAAGCAAATTTCAATTTTTTTAAATTTGTTTTGCTAATTTTTTATTGTTTAGCACTTTTGTGTAATTAGTGTTTGATAATGTATTTGGATTATTTTAATGTTATTGAATAAAGTAATCTATTGGGAATGAATGTTAAGATTTTATACTCTGTTGTCAACTTTTAAGTCACATCTTAGATTATTGTAATTGAGGCTGGCACTTGGCAAGAACCACTTTTTGAGGTTTGGAGGGGCGGTCAAAGCCTTGTTCTTGAGGCAAACGAGGGTTGGTTGAGTTGGTAGAGATTGTTCTTTTCATTATTAAGGCCTAGATTCGAGTTTTACTACCAACAATCCCTCTTAGGGGTTAATCTGTAAAAACTAAAAAAAAAGGGCTAAGACCCCTCTGTATGCCCTGGTCTTGGAATGGGATAGCCTTCGCTATCTCTAAACTTATGTTTACCATTAAATTTAAAAATTTAAAAAAACCTTGTTCTTGCTTCATTTTCTATTGGTATTTATATTTCAAATGATCTTCAATTTAAGTTTTTTCTTCAGAGCTTGGCTGTGCATAATTTTTATTTTGGAGAAGGATCAGACACAACTGGTGTGCCTTCAAAGATGCTGACAATGAATTGTTCAGTGAAGATGAGTGTGTACAACCCTGCTACGTTTTTTGGTATTCATGTGAGCTCAACACCAATTAACCTTATGTATTCAGAGATTGCAGTTGCAACTGGCCAGGTAAGATTTATACATTGGACTGTTGTTGGATTTATGATGATGCAATTCCAATAAGAAACTCATCCAAGTGAGCTTGACTGGCTGCGTCACATTTGCCTTTTTCTTTTCTTTTCTTGTAGATCAGAGTTATCCCTTGGTGTGTGATTTAAGAAGCTACTTTCAGTTCTTTCTTATTAGGTTTAGGTTTAGGTCCAGCTTTTTCTTATTTGGTTGCATATAATGCAGTTGAAGAAATACTATCAACCAAGAAAGAGCTACCGGAATGTGACTGTGAACCTCCAAGGGATCAAGGTTCCTTTATATGGGGCTGGGGCAAGCTTAGCAGTCTCTGATAACAGTGGAGGAGTTCCGATGATGCTGATGTTTGAAGTCCGGTCACGAGGGAATGTGGTGGGGAAGTTGGTGAGATCAAAGCACCAAAGGCACATATCTTGCTCCATGGAAATCAACTCTCATAATAGCAAACCCATCAAGTTAAAAACGAGTTCATGCACCTACAAATGAGCACCTGGGTTTCACCTGCTGCTATTTGCAATGCCTAGTGTTTCTGTTACAGTTATTTTTGTTATCAGTATATGATAGTGTGGAGTGGTATTGTATGCCTTCTTCCTCGCCAAGAAGGTTCGTCTCGTCATACAACATTTTTCAAATTTCTGCATAGAGGCTATTATACTAGTGGGACCATTGCGATTCACCTTATATGACAATTCATAAGTTACAATGAATTCATAAGTCCAAGCACATCCACAGGTTTATTTATTTAAAAGTGAGAGCAAATTCTGAATTGAAACAAAAAAGTTACTTCATTCAGGGGTCGATTTGCAATGTACAACAATTATGATGAACTAGGGCCTTCCAAAATTCGCCCGTATCCCAGTTTCTTTTAGAATTGAGAAATTACACAAAGATTGAATGCAAAAATGGTAGAACACAAAACAAAACAATGTCAATCGAAGAGGCAGAAGAAACTTCATATGGTTACTAATTCAATGATACACTTTCCTTTTGCTGAGACGCTGGAACGCTATCCTTCTTATCAGCACCTTCCTTTTGCTGAGACACTGGAATACTATCCTGCTTATCAGCACCTTCCTTTTGCTGAGACACTGGAACGCTCTCCTGCTTATCAGCAGCACAACCAGTCTCAAGAACCGTGGCGCCAATCCTCTTTGGAGGCCAATACCGAAACAGGGATCTTCCTAAAATATTATTGGCTGGCAGTGGACCCCTAAACATAACACAACTTAAAAGAGTCAATAGGAAGAACCAAAAGATAGCAAGTAAAAGAGGATCTTAAAAACAACATATCTCACTATTCTGCACTTGGGTTTAGTATACATTACCATACGTGTGAATCATAGCTGTTATTTCTATTGTCACCCATCACAAAAACTGAGTTTTCTGGCACACGCTGCACAACATAAACACGAAGAAAAACATGAAAAGTCAATTACTCTTTAAAGCTGGGAAGATAAACAATCCAAAATATTATAACATAATTCTTACAATAGGAGTCATATTGTATGAAGGTGGTTCAAGGATGAACTTTTCATTTCTCTCCACCCCATTAACGATGAGCTTCCCATTGCGAACCTGCAATCATCATTGTTTTGTAGTTGGAGTTAAATAGAATCCATCACTATATTATAAGAAATCATCATTGTTTCGTATTGTTTTTAGGTGCAAGTCAGAGTTAAATTTGAAAATCTAGATTGCTATTTCCAGGGATAATGGTTAACTAGCATAACATTACATGTTCTGAAAGGAGGGCAGAGTCGGCAGTCATTCTGAACAAAATTTTGTTGATATTTCCCGTTTATTACAGTAGAGAAAATAAAGTGTATTGGTGTGATGATGTCTCTTGGTTGACACACAGGGATGTAATTAACCATAGCAAGAATTATGAAAGCAATAACGCACACTGCAATATTATGACATGGCAAGGTGCTCTAATTCAGTAATCTCACCTCTACAATATCACCTTCCTTGGCAACAACTCGTTTAATGAAGACATCATAGTCAGTATACCCTACTTGCTGAAGGACTGGTGGACTTTTAAAGATAACCACATCATTGGCACATGGCTTTCTGAAATAATATGTAACCTGGCAATGTTAAGAGGAAAATAAATTAGGTAAACATTCAATAGTTTTCTCATCAAACAGTCACATCACAAACTATAGAGAAGGCGTATCATTGTCAAAGTTTTAGCCAAAAAGTCCAAGCATATAATTCTCATAAGATTTTACATAGGTCAGTGGTCATACTAATGCAGACAAATTTGATCAATCAGGTTTTAAATTCGCATATGAGAAATTTCAGTGATAGTTCTGTTGCCACTCGGTAAAAAATTTATATTTCCTCTCCACTATCACCTCAATCATCTACCAGTCATCCTAAATTATAATCTCTGAAAGTTTAACCTTTATTTAGCCCCTTCCTTATCATCCTTCTGATGTACCCTTACCATCAAACAATGCATGTCTAGAAAATGTAAGTTAACACAAGACTAATGGAAAAATGATCATCAAAATTCAGTGACATCCCACATTCCAACTTCCAAAGAAACTCCAAAATCCGAAATGTTATCAATAATTAAGTTCAAACATAAGCCTTATCCTTAAATGTTGCCATTACAATTTCGACTTTTAGCTAACCAACAGGATTCAAAGCTTAGCAAACAGAATTCATACACCATAAGCAATATATCCACCAAAAAACAAATAAAGTTCTGACCTTTTCTGCTACAATTCGGTCTCCCACATCCAAAGTAGGATACATGGACAGCGAAGGAATGTACCTCGGCTCAGCTATGAAAGACCGGAAAGCAATCGATACTGCTATCGCCGCAAAGACTGTCTTCGCGTCGTCGGTAGTGATATTGAGCCATTCTGGAAAAGGCCCGCTCTTCTTCTCCACCTGCTCATCATCCCGTCCGCCATCACCACCGCCTCCTCCTCCTCCACCATCATCACCACCTCCTCCACGGTCCGAAACCGCCTTGGTTTCCTCACCAGAGTCCTTTAAAGCATTGCAAGCAAGTTTTTTGAAGTGGGTTTTATTATTTGTGGTTTTTATAGAAGGGGTGAAGTGGGTTCTTGAAAGTGGGTTGAGATTGAGGACTGTGAAATTAGGGATTTTGATGGGTGTGGAGAAGTGGGTATGGTTAAAGTTAGGGTTTTGGAGGGAAGATAATGGAGGGGAGACACGTAGAGAGAGCATCTCTTTCTCTCCCTTTGTCTCAAGCTAATGCATTCAATCTGCAGTTTTTAGCTTCTGGTATTTTCTTTTTCTTTTTTTGAATTTTTATTTTAGTTTTGAATATCCATGAGCTTCCAATGTTCTCCATTTTGTTGGTATCCTCCCATTGTGTCCTTTGATCCTGCTACTTGCACATCATTGGATCCTGTCCTGGTAGTGGGACCCACTCCAATTTTAATTGTGTTTATTGAGAGCTTAATTGCATTCTCGAGCCAAAACTCCACTCTAGGGAGACTACAATAAATTAACATCACTGGCAGAGAAGAAAAGCTACAGGGGCTGGCTGCTAGCCTGCAACATAAAACTTCGTTTTTCAAAAGTAACCCTTTTCATTACTCATTTGTGAATAGTATTTTCATTTAACAAATATATATCAGACGAAATTGTTATCTTTGGCCCTGAATTATCAACATATGTTACACATTTCATGTAGCAAATTACATAATTTCCTACACTTTGACTTGCACAATCAGCAGGGACACCAATAGAGATGGAAGTATATGCTGCAACACTATCAACGGCTCTGAATAGCAAAGAATCATCAACACTCATGAATCTAAGAACCAAGGAAATCTTCTGGGGCAGGATAATGTTTTGTCCCTCATCGAAATAGCATCATCTGAGTCGCCTCTGTTTCCTCATCAATGTATTTATTTACACCACAGGACGTGTATTTACAAACTGCCTGCACGTCCCAACTTGAGTCTGAAACTGCCTCCTACATATGATCAGTGGTTGCACTCTAAATGCAGACGTATGAGCAAGACACATGGTTTTAGTAGCATTCTGCATACTGTCAGATGAAAACTGAAATCCTCTTGAAATCATCTGACCTCTTATGTTGGCAGCAGATCCACCGTTATCAGAAACAACAACTCCAGGTATCGGCAAAACATTAGGATGAGAAGTACTTAAGTTTTGTTTCCTACTAATCATCTCTAAACTCTGCTCAGGTACCTTGTCCCTCCTATTATTTTGTACCACTTCCCTTTCTTCTTCTGAATCATTTAAGACTCTCATGGCCTCGGTCATTAAACCTATCACATGCCAAGCTTCGGCGACAAGCTGGATAGTTCTCTTCTCGGGAATAACACCCTTCTCTTCCATTATATGGAGCAAATCTTCTGCTTTCCATGGTTGCCTAGCTTCTCCATATCCCCATATTAGGGTCTCAAAAGTTTTCAAATTGGGGGCAATGCCCATTTCACACATTTTCTCATAGATACTCCAAGCATGCTCCATTTTGCCAGCTGTGCACCACCCACTCATGATGGTTGTGAAGATTACAACATTTGGATGCACACCATATTTTCCCATGGAAATCATAAGTGACTCAGCCTTACCAGGCTCACCAGCACGCACATAGCCTTTTGCAAGAATGCTGAATGCATGGATGTCTGGTTCTATGTCCGCTTTTATCATGTCATTGAAGACCTCCTGGCATTTTTCCATGAGCCCTGCCGAGCTCCATGCATCCATTATGGTGCTAAATGTTATCACATCTGGCTTCATCCCAAATTCTTCCATCAATGTTAGTACCTGTCAAGTTAGGCTGATTGTCAGTGAAAATTCTGTGAGAAAATTGAGGAACTGAGTGCTATGCAAAACTGCTATAGAAGCTTGGGAAACTTAAATTAACAAGACACATGATTTCTCTTTTCATAGTTTTTGCAGATATATTCCCATTAAAATGCCAAAATTAACAGTGCAATATCTAAGGCAAATGGCATTTCACTAGTCTTTTGGAGTGGCATTGCAGATGTAAGAACATTCCATTATTTTCATAGTCTTATATAAGTAAAATAATATACAACTTCACATCTATCAGGGTCAGAGAACTACACATAATTCAGAATAACAAGGTTAGTGAACACCAAGATTCTGTCAGCGAAGTGAAACATAAAAGCTCAAAATACATCATGGTGAGACAGAGAGACAGAGAGAGAGTTAATCAATAAAAGGATTGAGGGTAAAAACTCACCTCATCAACTCCATCAGTGTCTGTAATGTCCAGAAACCCCTTGATAAGAGAGTTAAAAATAACAAGATTTGGATGCACCCCTATATCCTTCATTCTGTACACAAACCTCAAGGCATCTGTCATGCTACCTTCTTTACAATATCCATTTACAATGATGCCACAAGTTCGCTCATTGGGGTTCACTTTGTTGTTCTGCATCTCTAACATCAACCTTTCAGCGATATTTGTCTCTCCATTCTCAGCATAAGCCCTTGCCAATGTGTTGTAAGTCACTACATCAGGTTGTACACCAGTTGCAACCATCTTATATACCATATTCCAGGCTTGATTTATTTTCTTCTTGTTACACCAGGCTCTAACAATCATGTTATATGTCCTGTCATTGGGTTTCGTATTCTCATCCTGCAACATAAGCTCTAGCAATTTTAAAGATTCTTCAGGTTTTCCAGCAATTCCATATCCTTTGATAAGAGTGTTAAAAGTACTGGTTGTGGGCTTACATCCACTCCCCTCCATTTTCTGAAAGATTTTCATAGCATCATCTATATTTCCAGATTCAGAGGAAGCATTAATCATTGCATTAAAAAGTATTGAGTCGGGCTTCAGACCATTCTCCTCCACTTCAGAGAGGAGCAAGGGAATAGACTTGAAACGCCTCTGGCGGGTCAAGGCAGCTACAAGAGTTGTATATGTTATAAGACTTGGCCTGTGTCCTTCTTCTGCTAAACTTTTGAAAATGGATTGGGCTTCATGTGGCTTCCTTCTTGCAATTAGACTATTCATCAGTTTTGTTCTTGAACGAACTACTTGGCAACTGGTCTTGCCCAAACATACAAGGCAATGGGATTGAATTCCTGAATCTACCAGAGTTGAGTCCTTCTTTTGCGAATGTGGTTCCTAAGTAGTTCACAATGATCAGAATTAGACCATTACCATGTTTAAGCACAAATGCATGCATAAACTATGCCTAAAATTCAAAGAATCCTAAGTGGGAATAATCTAAAATGAACTCAACTAAACTGACATTTACTTTGACAAAGGCTACTGAAAGAACAATTCATTGTCAGCCTAATTAGTAGAAGTTGTTCAGTTCAGATTGAGGAAGAAACAGAATGCACATTGAACCATAAACTTAAGTTGCAAGATCAAGCAAACTGACTACTTGCTAATACGATACCCCGAGTGAAGATGATTTGTTGCCTCCAATCGTTACCTCTTGGCGTCCACCCATGAGCTCCTGTCAGCACCAAATGCCCCCAATTCTTCTCCACGGGCTCCTCAATTTTTGAACTAACTTCCTTGATCAAATTCAGATTTTGGCTTCCAGTCCATACCAAAGTGTTTGCTTTCACCAAAGGTTCAGACTTGAGGGATAGTTAGACATTCATTTCCTTCTAGATGGAACCTGTAAAGGATGTTCGAATATGCTTGATCAAATATCTGCTGAAGATGTTTAACATTTAAACCGACAAAGGGGAAGCCTATATGTAAGTCACATGCATCTCATCTGCTAATACAGTTATGAGTTATTTTGGTAGATTGATTGGGAATCCAAATATAGTTCGAATATATGAGCAACAGATAGATAACGCAGAGATTAAAGGGCCCTCTATAGTGATAAGGGGATGCATCAGATGAAAAGAAATGATAAGGAATCACATATTCAGAGGGAAGAAGTCAGTAATCTTTCACTAGAAATCTTATACAACTTAGCAACAACAAGATTAGGCAAAATGCAAAGCAGATAATAAGCAACACCACAGATTTTGATGCAAAGCAGAATGGGAGTCGTTCCAAGGTAGTGGAAAACAGAACTGAGGTAACCACCATTCATCCATATCCCATTGCTGGCAGAGAAGAGCAACAGTACCAAACATCCAGGCAGCAACAAGAACCATTTTCATGAAATAAAAGTCTTGACTGGAGTACTGAAAAACCCAAATTTTTGCAGCAAAAGAAAAACAACAATGGGGTCCAAACAACTGACTGTTCTTGATCTTGAATTAACTCTCACACTAAGAAACCAGAAACTGATGTGATTTTTAGTCAGGGAAACATTCAAACATCCCTACCCACATCTTTCAAGAATAAAATTTTCAAACAAAATGGGTTTTGGAAACCATCAACAGCTGCCAAATATAAATCAATGCGAAAAAATAAACAATTTGAGCTCAATACAGCATTAAGTTCAGTAAACTCAAGCAACAAACTTCAGCTAAAATTATATAAATGAGAAATCCCAAAAACTGAAAGAAAGCTGTTTTGGGGGGAGGAGGGGCTTATACCTGTTGAGCTGACAGTGGCAGAGCTTGGAAAGAGAGGTGGAGTTGCATGGTTGGTTGCCGAGTTGTGCATGTAAAAGTGGAAGGGGTGCTATTGTAGTCTAGCGGTGTGTGTGTGTGTTTGTGTTGTGTGATCCACTGGAGATTCTTATCCACAGATATTTGTAGTGAAAATTCTGGAATTTTTTTTTGAGGCTGTTAAATGTAGGAGACAAAATGCAAGTAGATTATTTTGTGGTCAAAAATTAGAAGACCACAATTTTATTTTCTTTTTCTTTTTTCTTTTTGTACCTAAAAGGATTCTTTTAAATTAATGGGAAGAGAAGTAGGAGGAGCTAATTGATGTAAAACTGTTCTCTTCCATCATGCACCACTTGAATTGAAACTACGTGGTCACTTATAATTGTGTATTTTGCAAGATTCTTCCTACTCTAGGGAAGATTTTTAATAAGAACAGCGACAAAAAGAAAAAAGAGAAAAGAAACCAGGAGAAAGATTGACAATTAACTTAAGTCAAAATCAATACTCGGCGGACCAAAGAAAAATAACAATATTTGAGTGAAAAGAACAAGTCTTTAACTATATTAGTTTGCGCGAACGTGGTCTAGTCTAATAAAAGAAGGCTTTGACAAATCTCCGCTCTTATAATTTAGAACACCACTTGTAATCAAACCTATATTAACTTGCTACAAAAAGTACAAATGGGACAAAATTAGGATGGAAAAGATGCATAAATAAATCAAAATCAAAACAAAGACTCTCCAAGAGCAGTTTGTAAAATCAAGAAAATGAGATTAGATTATTATCAGGCCCCGTACCAACTTGTTCATAAATAGGACCATTGCGTTTTCAAAGTTTTTAGCTTCAAGCCTCCAACTTCCTCTCCCATCCCTCTCTCCGCCTCTCACAGACGTAGACACATAAAATGATGCTGAAGCTGTGGAAATGGTACCAGAACTGCCTCTCTTTTCACCCACTGAAGACTCAGGTCATCAGCTCCGGTGTCCTCTGGGGCGTCGGCGACATTGCTGCCCAATACATCACTCACTCCAACGCAAGAAAGCGTCTTCAACTTTCTGTGAGTAACCCATTACAAAACCTAATCTTCTCTTACTTCAATATGGTTATTTTATTTCTTGTACCGGATTCTGTAATTTCATTCCTTCAATTGAATTTCTTGTTTTCGGGAACTGGGTAGGTGTAAATGTCTCTTTTTGAGTTGGGTTTTCGAAGCGGCCACACACACAAAAAAAAAAAACTTGGGTTGTCTGCATAGCATAGTAGCCTTTTAGAGCCTCTGAAGTTCCCTTTTCTTTTTCTTTCTGAATTTGATACCTTTTTTGTGTGTTTAAAATCATGAACCTTTTCTTCAGAATTAGATACCATTGACTCTGGGTCCATTACGATGTCTTATGGAACTGAATATGTTATACAGCTTTTGAAGGTATGATTTATCATCCACAATAGGGATACCACAGATAATGGAATCAATCTCCTAAAATGATGGTAGGGAATGATGGCTTGATGGTCAAGTTCTATGTCTATCAAATAGATGAATGCCATTACAGACAATGTGTGTCATCACAATTGGAGCTGATAGTTCCATGACATGCTTATCCACTACCATTTGCAAATGAGACTCTCATTTTTAGAAATGCATCATAGGTCTATCCATGCTATTTGCTCACGCTTGCCATTGGTAGTGCTTTGATTTATCACTAAATAGTGGAACCTTGTTTCATTCATTTTTCTGGTCAGCGGAAGGTTTATGGACAAGTCTGCATCAATAAATGGATTTTAAAAATAATTCAAATAATTAATTAACTAATCGGGTTTAATTTAAATCACAGAGCCCAAGAGCCCCAAGGCCCAAGGTACTTTCTTTCATGAACAAGTCTGCATCAATAAATGGATTTTAAAAATAATTCAAATAATTAATTAACTAATCGGGTTTAATTTAAATCACAGAGCCCAAGAGCCCCAAGGCCCAAGGTACTTTCTTTCATGAACAAGTCTGCATCAATAAATGGATTTTAAAAATAATTCAAATAATTAATTAACTAATCGGGTTTAATTTAAATCACAGAGCCCAAGAGCCCCAAGGCCCAAGGTACTTTCTTTCATGAACAAGTCTGCATCAATAAATGGATTTTAAAAATAATTCAAATAATTAATTAACTAATCGGGTTTAATTTAAATCACAGAGCCCAAGAGCCCCAAGGCCCAAGGTACTTTCTTTCATGAACAAGTCTGCATCAATAAATGGATTTTAAAAATAATTCAAATAATTAATTAACTAATCGGGTTTAATTTAAATCACAGAGCCCAAGAGCCCCAAGGCCCAAGGTACTTTCTTTCATGAACAAGTCTGCATCAATAAATGGATTTTAAAAATAATTCAAATAATTAATTAACTAATCGGGTTTAATTTAAATCACAGAGCCCAAGAGCCCCAAGGCCCAAGGTACTTTCTTTCATGAACAAGTCTGCATCAATAAATGGAGGGGGGTTTTATTCTTTTTGTGGGGTTTTTACTCTTTCCTATGGTTTATCATATAGACAAAAAATGCTTTGATTGATTTCATATTTGCGGGTTGATGGTTTAGAAGAACTAACAAATGCTCCTTTACATTTGTGTATATGTTGTTTGGAAGTCAAGGAACTACTTTTATCATGTGCAGGAAATAAACTTTCAGTTTCCATAACTATAAGTCTTTCAAAATGAAAAATTAACTGAGGAGTTCAGGTACCACTGAAATAGATCCTTGTGTGTGTGTGTGTGTGTGTGTGTGGTAATGTCAGTGCATGTGTGAGCATGAGTATGTGTTTCCAGTATAATAGCTCCTTTATCTTGCTTTTTAGTGTAGAGTGTATCTAACCAACCCTTGATGCCCATTTTTCTGTCCACCTATTTGTTACCTCAAACTTTGTAAGTGTTGAACCTACGCTAAAGAATGCAGCTGAACTTTGGAGCAGAACCTGATTGTTTGGAATTCAAGTCATTGTTGGTGTTTATGATTTGCTTCAGTTCAAGTCATTGTTGGTGTTTATGATTTGCTTCAGTTCAAGTCATTGTTTTTGGAGTTTCGACCAAAAAAGTCATTTGGTTTTTTTTTGTTTTTTTTTTTTTTGTTGTGGAGAAGCAGTATTAGTGTTTTTCCCATCAACCACTTTCTATGCACATATATGATGATTTTTTATATTTCCTATAGCAGGATACAGATGCAGACTTCAAAGTTAACTGGAAACGCGTAGCTATAACAAGCACTTTTGGGTTTGCCTTTGTTGGACCAGTTGGCCATTTCTGGTTTGTTTTGCCTATCCAGTTTCTTTTCCTTCAGGTTGCCTGGTCTGATCTGTCTGCCAACTGTATGATAGAAATAAATAAAAATAAAAAGTATAACATTGCATGTTTATAGGTACGAAGGCTTGGACAAATTTATAAAGCTGAAGCTTCACCTACAACCTAAGTCAGCGCGGTTTGTTGCTGCTAAAGTGGCAATGGATGGCCTTATCTTTGGCCCTTTGGATTTGTTGGTGTTTTTCACTTACATGGGATTTTCCACTGGCAAGAATTCTGTTCAAGTGAAGGAAGATTTGAAGAGAGATTTCCTGCCAGCCCTTGCTTTGGAGGGTGGTGTGTGGCCAATTGTTCAGATTGCAAATTTCCGATATGTTCCTGTGAGGTACCAACTCCTCTATGTTAATGTCTTCTGCCTGTTGGACAGTGCATTTTTGTCATGGGTCGAGCAACAAAAGGATGCTGCTTGGAAGCAGTGGTTCACATCTTTTACTTCTTTTAAGGAAGGAGGAGGTCAGGGAAGATTATGATTATCTTCTTCCCCACTTTTGCATTCTTTCTTTCTCTTCGTTTTACAGTACTGCAAATGGGAAAGAAAAAAAAAAAGGCATGTGTTTTAAGATACAGAGAATCATGAGCCCTCCTTAGACTACCAACCTGCGTTTTCAATGTTGGGGTTATGGTAGTGATGTAATTGTTTTCCAGTTGTATGTGTTTAGCAACATTTATTAAACGAAATGAAAAACACAGTTTAAATTTTGAATTTGATACGCCATTTTTCATGGATATCTAAATGGTCTTTGACATTTCTGCACAAGGCCAACCGAGTAATGAGAGATGCCTCATGTCACAAGCACCATGAACTGGACTATGAGCTTCGAAATTACAGTTTGTGCTGATGGTTATCTGGAAGATGAACTGAATAATGTGGTGCTTTAAAAACAACTTTGGAGTAGGCAACCTCAATATTAGCATTATACACGATGTTTTCCGTACTGGAAAGTTTGGGGTTTGAAGCTGGGTTTTTTTTATTTTATTTTATTGGTGGGTGGGTCAAGAAGCTGGGTTCAATACATGTAACCTAGTTTGCAAACTGCAACATAATCTAAAGATAGTACAAAATTGTGCGGACATCCAGGTTGTAGAGAATGGGTGGACCCGCTGATTCGAAACTATGGCGACTAGATGAACGAACTATGACCTCCGCCGAGTGGTACTTTTGGCTTGAATGTCGCAGATACCATTAAGCATGGGCAGTGTTTGAAGCCAATGCTCTGAAAGGCAAAATAAGGATTGTTACTTTTCAGGAAAAAGGTTAGATAACTAGGGACTACAATATCCGATTTGAACATACAAAAACTTACTGGGATGCTTAGCAGTAGTCCTTGACTATTCACTAGGACAGGCAGACCTCTTCTTGCAGCCAGAGGGATAGACTTCAGGGATACAAGAGCTCTTTGTGCTGAGAGCCTTGCATAATCTGGACATTCGTTTGTCTTCTCTTCTGTTTGCTCTACCCTACTATCTAAACAATGTTTCTGTTCTTGAAAGTTTTCTGAAGTTCGACTCTTCGACAAGTTGGCAAGATACAGCCAATCTGGTTCAGTCATGTTCCGCACCTCAACCATCATGTCATGACCAAATACACAAGATCTGCAACAGCCCCGACTTTGTCCTTCCGAAACTCCATCACTATTAGCTTCCTCAGAAGTTGCATTTTCAGGAACTTCCTCACTCAGTTTCCATGTGACAAAGAACCGGTTCATGAAGCAACATATTTCCCCAGGGTGAAGTGGTTTACTCCTTGATGTACTAACAGATTTGACTCCATGCTCTGACTTGTAGTCAGCTGCGACTTTGCCCTTAGACTTGAAA